TCGGGTGGATCCTCGAACCATACTACTTCTTTACCAATTGGCAAGGCAAACTGAACTAATTTATGAGCTACGCCATTACATTTTCTAGGGACATACATGAACTATTTAAATTGATAAGACAGCCGCTACCTGCAACACGCTACCACAAATAATACAATGGCAAAACAATCCCTAGATTGGTCGTCAATGGTAGCAAGAGCATGAGTAGAGTCACTCTCGACCACTATCTGTTGCACACCTAAACGCTCTGCTAACCGGAGTCCTTCCCAATTTTCCATCAATTCGATGTGTGTTACGGACGCTATACCCTCTTTCCTCCAAGAACCGGTTACCACACAAAGTGTCCATACGAATCACGAATTACAACCCCCCCACACCGCCTAAGTTATTTGCAGATCGAGTGGCTCTGTCAACATTAATCTTAACCCAACCCTCCTTGGCACTTGCCATCTAACCAGCACGGGTTGTTTATTCACATTCGGCTTGGTGTTGAAATGTTGGAATTCCTGATACCACACTAGATAGAGATTTAGTAGAAAAATTAACTCATCGAGATTGGTAGTTTTTGGTATTGAATTTCTGTAGTGCATCACTATCGGATGTATTTGACTAATTAGTGAATGCAATGTCTTGAACTACTTAACAGTTTGTGTAACCAAGATAATATTAATCACACTACACCATTCCAGACACCCATAATTGCTCTGTTATGTTCATTTCGTCCCTGTCATTAGTGCTCTAGAGAATTAAGTCCTTAATAATTCTCATATGAACTGCCTCATTCCACCCTCAAGGTAGACTTCGAATTAAAAGTATCCTGCAATATCCCACTTGAATTTTTAAGAATTCCAGGTTATAGGAATCATTAAAACAAAGCTTAACATAACCCCACTAGTAAGCAACACTGTTATCCTCAAGGGTCACGGGTAAAAAGAGTATAGCTCTGTAGTGCTACATAATTCGAGTTATCATAATTTACTTGTCATGTTTGAACCTAAATCTTTGAATCTTCAGCCAACTAAGTTGGGTTTCTATTATAATGATGGGCTTTTGACCCATTTCCTTCAATGACCAACTTACTATCTAACAATCCTTTAATAATTGATACCACTCGGTTGACTATCTCTTATGGTGTGTCTTCCATCTGATGAAATTATACTTCATTCGGAAATAGTTGTTTTGTGACGTTAAATCCTTCAAACAAATATTTTAAGAATTAAAAAAGTAATTTGCTAATACCCAAACACATTCCTCCACATTTAAGATATTTGCCAACAAGGTTCTCTAACATTTTAATACTGTAAAATACCTCAATCGACATCCTTACAAGACCAAAGTAACTCATTCAAAATTTAACCAAGGACAACACCACTTGCATTGTCACCACTTGAACGGATGAGTAACATGGACTGGAAAACTCACTAGTGGCTCCATTACATTACTAATCTTTCTAGCAAGTACTCATCATTCTCCTTGGAAAATATTTGCAAAAGTATTAAACACACTAATTGTGAAAGACCATTTTTTTTTATGGCAAGTTACATCTTTGGCTGTCATACTGTTGAATTCTTTTGAAACTCAAATACTCACGTGCTGTCGTCGTAGCTTTGACTGTTGCAACATATAAAAGAATTGGACCATACTAATTAAATTCCATTTTCAACACTTGCAACAAAAATTGTAGAATTTTATTTTACTTGTTTTTATTTCTAAGGGTATCAGTTGTGCTGGATTATTTCAAGCTGGACGAACTTTATAGACTAAGCTAGATTGGCTTAATTAGAATATACTAAGCTAGACTGGCTTAGAATGTATGTTAGATTGACTTCGTGAAGCGTTGGTGCATTGTCGGACTACGAAGTAGAATAATGAAAATAGTATGCACTACATTTTAATTGCTTTTCTATTAAAGATATTATCAAAAGTATTGTTGATGCACAAAATCAGTGAGGACTTTGGTACAACAGAAAATGTCAAGTTTGTGACCTTCACTAGATTGCTCCGGTCACTAGTGTTGATAAGTATGTAAATGATAGAGACAGGGAAGCAAACACAAGATGTACGTGCTTCACCCAGATTGGCTACGTCCACGGAGTAGAGGAGTTCTCATTAATTGTGAAGGGTTTACACAAGTACATAGGTTCAAGCTCTCCTTTAGTGAGTACTAGTAAATGATTTAGTACAAATGACATTAGGAAATATTGTGAGAGAATGATCTCTATTTATAGAAGAGAGTTTCTAGTTTTATTATGACATTGACACGTGTCGTGTTGTGATTGGCTTCTGATGTTGACATGTCGCGCTATGATTGGCTTCTGATGTCGACAAGTGTCGCGCTGTGATTGGCCTCTTGGTTGGAGGGAAACTCTTATGAGTCCTTGACGGTATAACGTTGATCGGTGCTCAGTAGTTTCGAGATTGGTCAAGTATGGTACAAACAAGTATTAGTACTGAATGAGAGTGATACTCAATCAAAAAGACAAACCGAATTTCTTGCCAACGAAAAGAATATATATGGTTCAAGAGTAGCATAATAATTGATAACGTAATATTCTGCAACATACTTACAATAGCTACAATATACGCTAGCTACAGTATTCTGCAACATACTTACAATAGCTAGCTACAATTATATCATTCAAAAGTTGATCCACATGATCCACTGAAGGTAAATTTACATTAACCAAAATACTTCACAGTGTTAAGGCTAAGTTGGAAGCCACGACTTAATGCCGTACGATCAACAAAACACAATTCATATCAAAAGACACCACATAATATACTCATCAGCTTGCTTTGTTGCTTAGAAGATTTTGAACGAAAACATTTTTGGGTTTGGCATCTAATGACTTGAGTACTTCCACATTTTGTGGTTTTTCTATAATAAGACTTGAGTACTTCCTCAGGTCCATATATATTCAAACTAAAAATTCCAAATTTAAAATAAAATAAAATAAAATAAAAAACCCATGATATATAGCAGAAGAGAATTTTTATTTGAATCGGTTTATCTTATCTTTACACTCAACTCAAAAACTTATTTAATAAAATTCTAAATGTGCCATGAAATAAATAGAAAGAATTTCAAAACATTAGAACTTGTATATGCTCCAGCCAACCCCATCGGGAAAACACGAAGGGAGGCTTTCACGCTCCCCAACAAGCCACGACATCCCTTTTTTCCAGCAAAGATAACTGAAGCTCCAACAATCCAATTAATCCTCTCCTTTTATCTTTTTGTGTTTCTCTGTGGGAACTTGGGTCCAATCAATCAGGAAAGAAAGGTGAGTGTGAATTAGTGTTGACGGAGAAGTGAGGAGTCATGTTCGATGCCCACGGATGGCACCAAAAGGAAATGATGGTTCATATTCTTCTCACGGTTATGATACGAGGGAGGAGGAGAAAAAGAAGGAAAAGTATGGAAGGAGTTGACAGTTGTTGATGACTTGGGGATAAATTTTGGTGGAAGTTTGATTTGGATTCGCTGGAAATAATGGTGAGGTGCAATGCTGTGGTGGGTTTAGGGTTATTGGGTGTAGACAGAAAAACACCCATTTTTATTTTTCTTTTTCTTATTTATTAAGGGCAAATTTGAGAGTTTGTTGGACAAAATTGTTAAGTTGGGTGTAAAGATAAAACAAATGGGTTCAAATAAAATTTTCTATAGCAGAATCCCACTTGAAAAAAAATCAAAAATCCAAAAAAATAAAAAATAAAAAACGATCCCTTCAAGAAGAAGCATAAGCAAAGTAACCATCACAACAGAAGAAGAAGCCATCTGCAACATAAGAAGCAGAAAAAAAAAAATCCAGCTCATAACCAAACACTAAACATGGAGAGATTGGCCAATTGATCCGAGAAAACAGAGAAATCGGCCAATCGATCCAAGAAAACAACGAGAGAAATGAGACCTAAAGAAAGAAATTGGCTCGAGGCAGAGCACAGCAAATCGATCCACGTTACCAAGTTTTGACAAAGCTGACAAGATTTCTAGCAATGGTCTTACCAATCATTTGCTTTTCGGAGGGTCTCGGTAAGACGTTCTAGTGAGCCATTTAGTCGAAACGAGTCCTTTGTATTCCTATTAAAATAGCCCATGCAGATACAAACACAGGACTACACCAACCTTTAATCCAATCCAATGAAGCCTAACTATGGCAAACAAACGCACCATGTTGGCTGATAATTCTATAGTTTTGTACTGGGGTTGAAGGCTATATAGGCTTATGATTCTTAAATCGAACCGTACTGTGCCCACCCCTACCTATACGTATAAGTAAGCAACACACATCCCCTTCCATTTTCTTTACTAGTAATGTAGATTGATCCCAAGCCAAATTCATTCAACATTTAACCTAAACATTATTCATTCAGGTAAAATAGGTTGATGCATCTTTTAAACTGTCATCCAAACTTTGCAATGCAAACAGAAACAACGGACATTTTCGTGCGAACCCACGCTTCAGTCACCACACTGAAACTGCATTTCGAACACGCACCCAAAACAGATTCAGCAAAAATTCTAGGATACTACCAGTCGTTAGATCATAATTGCAATGATGGAGAAATCAAGGGGCATTGAGGACCCAATGCATGACTGGGGTTTTTTGTACCCTCAACCTGTAGACTCTCGACAAATAAATGAACAAAAACTGCTTGTAGCATAATCCCCTACCAAGATATCCCAACAGTAGTTCAAATGAAGTTAAATAGTAATGGCAATTGAAGAGAAAGATAGAGATGAAATGGTGTTCATGCTCATAGCAATGCGGTTTTGACAAAAGCCAAACAAGTAGAGAATCATACATATGGATTTGATGATATTCGATAACAAAAACTTGATTGCTTCTTCAAAAGAATTGAGTTCTGAATCTCCGACAGCAATGCAACACCATGAAAATTTTTGCAACTACAATTCAACTTTAATGTGAGGAATCAAATAGAAAAACCAAGTAAAAAACTTTCAAAAAATAAAAAGTGAAGCAATAGAGGGCAACGAGTAAGAACCCCCAATCAGTTCTGTTGGGCATTTCATCAAACACCTTACAAAGCATTAAGGATTATATGAACCATCATATTTCATTTCCTACCAAGATAAAGATCGAGTTCCAAATCAACACAAAGTCACAAAAAATAGAAAGAAAAATGCACATTTACTAATTAAAACCCTAACCCTAGACCCAAAGGGCTCGATTTCAAATACCGGACATTGAAATCCACAAACCCTAAGCCCTTTCAAGAGCTGGTGAACTTAGTCACGGCTTTTGTCCCTTCCGAAACGGCGTGCTTGGCGAGCTCGCCGGGCAGCACGAGCCTCACGGCGGTCTGGATCTCCCGGGAAGTGATGGTGGGCTTCTTGTTGTACCTGGCTAGCCTGGACGACTCCTGGGCGAGCTTCTCGAAGATGTCGTTGATGAAGCTGTTCATGATTCCCATGGCCTTGCTGGAGATTCCGATGTCAGGGTGGACCTGCTTCAGGACCT